CCGTGGAAAGTATTCGCGACAGGCTGAAGAGTATCACTGAAGAGGTAGGCATTGTTCCTTTGCGCTGCGCCTAACATACTAACTCCTCACAGATCGAGGACTGGAAGCATCTTTCGTTTCCTGTTTCCATGCCCCCGGAAGAAGAGGATGGAAAGGATAATCTCAAAGAGGAGCAGGAGCAAGACGACGAACAGATGCAGGACTGAAGAGGAACGTCCGCTATTGGTACAACTGACGCGCGGAATCCCCATGCTGTACCCGCTTATACAGATGCCACAACTTCGAATCATATCGCTTGAACATAACGCGACAAACGACATATCGGTGTTTTGAACGTTTTCAGTATTACGATATGGTTACTCTTTCTATTAATGTCGAAAGAAACGAGACCAAAACCTTTCTCAGCTTACAGTCATCGCAATTGGGTCAGCTCGCTTCGCATGCTGTGCCACCTTGATCTATCTGTATAACGGGATTAGAACACGCGATGCGAACATGTTTGCTGCTTCCTTTGTTGCACGAGGTTTGCTTGTTACTCACTTACCGTGCTTTCTAGAATCATCTACTACTACATCTCGTCCCTTCCACCATTTGGAATCTTTCGATTCCACGCCAGACTGCTATCATGGACAATGAAATCCGACCGGCCTGGCAGTCCCCGACTTTCGCTCCCAACTCTCCTGGGACTGATCGAGACAGCTGGAAGACCGCTCCAGGCTCACCAAGAGAAGGCTTCAGATTCAACATTGATGCTATTACTGAGGAATGCGGAACACATTCCAGCGATGTTAAGAAGTTGAGTAGAGAACCATACGAACTGAGGCGGGAGTACAACGAAAAGGTTGACTATGCGGAACATAATTCAGATATCGACGGCATCGACTGGAGACCTGGCTTCAAAAACCAGTTTCCATGGATCGGTTTTGCAGGCCTCATGGTCATCTTCGTGGCGACAGCTACGGCTGTGGTCATTCTGGTGTCCTCGCACAAGAAGCGCGTCAAGGACTGGCCATTTACGAGGTAAGTCTGACAGATACACCTTGAATCGGGTCGCGACTGATGGAACAGCTTTCCTGCTCAGCCCAACGTCCTTCTCAACATTGCGAACCAGATCCAAAACCTAGGGCTGATCACTTTGGTAAGCCACGGACTGGCTATCGCATGGTGGAGAACAGCCTTGCGCGGCAGCTCTCTCCGCGTGTTACATCAAAATCATGCATATTCTTACAGCTTCTACGCGATTGTCACTTCCGGTCGATACTTCAACCTGGTGGCCCTCGCCGCACTTATGACCAAATTTGCTGTTGTCGATAGCACCCTATTTCAGAAAGCGACGAGGAGTATCGTAACTCAGCAAAAGGAGTACGCCAATTCCACCATGACTGGATGGGTTGAGAGAGACTGGCCCGCGAATTTTGGCGGGATACCGGGGGCAGATGGTCATATCAAGACGGTGGATGCGACATGGGCCAGCGTCTTGGATGCATACAACGGCAAGCTCGCGAATAGCAAGGTGCACGATTCCCTCAATGATACGGCATCTTTCTTCGATTGTCCCTATAGACAGGAATGCAGTGGTGCTATCGAAGGCTTAGGCTTTGCGTTCGATTGCACCACCGAATACGAAAATGTTGACTATGGGCTACGGCAATGGGAGGGATCTGATCATTTCGGCACACCTTACCCGTTGTGGGATGTCAAATTTAGACCATCATGGGCAAACGAAACCAAGACATACGCCAGTATCGAACTTAAGATGCGGTATGTCGACAGCCACGCTGGGAAGGACGAGCATTCCTGTCCAGGGATTATGAATATCCGCACATGCGAGATTAGGCCCGCAGTCGTTCGGTACCCCGTTACGGTCATGGTACCAAGTAAAGAAGAACTAGACGGCGGAAATATCGTTACACATATCAAGTTCTTTAATGACGACCGGTTCTGGAGAACCGGTACTAACTTGAACGATATCACCCAAATCGACGACTTGAAGGTGCTGAATATCGCTAAGCTCAACGAGTACTTCAACGAGACCTCTACTGTCGGAGCCCTGGCCTACATCATGAACAACCTCTATGAATCCTCCGCAAATATCAGTCACGGCTCCACCTGGGACATCGTCGCGCGAGGCGCTTCAGCTCAATCCATCTTCTACGCCGAATCAGATGAATCAGAGGACCGCTGCTGGTACGATATTAAGAAACCCGGTCGAGATGATCCCACCATCGAGCTCTTGCGCAAACTCAACACCTTAAGCTTCGTAACCGCTCTGTACATCAAAGGCGCCCCTACAACCGATAGAGACAAACGCAAAGCCCTCGGCATGGCCAGCCAAAACATCACCATATCCGTCACCGGCATCGTAGAAGAATACCTCACCTCCTCCGCCTACGTCTACGGCGCCCTCGCAGCAACCTTCATAACCGTCATGCTCGTCCTACCCGTCTACTGGGGTTTCTGGCAACTGGGTCGCAAAGTCACCTTGGGTCCACTTGAGATCTCACAAGCATTCGGTGCGCCCATCATCGCGCCCGACAAGATGAAAGCGTATCACGGCGACTTCGATCAGGTGCTTGAAGATGTTGGGGATAGGAGAGTGCAGTATGGGCAGCTCAGGAATGCGCCGCCAGGGCAAATGGGACTTGCGGAGCCGGAGAGGGTGGTTGTGCCTAAGGCTAGTCATCGGTGGCGGGTCAGTGGTCAGAGGGAGAACAGGAGAATTGGGCTGGGTGCAGTCTTTGGAGGTGCGGTCGCTGCGACCATGTCGGGGAATGCGAGGGATTGAGTGTGATCTGATGAAATGTCGGGGGTAATACGAGTGCGAGGCAAGGGCGAGTCTGTGCAGTCGTCCGGATTGCAGTATCTGGTGATCAACGGATAATGACTTAATGTATAATACAGGAAGGCGAATGCAGTAAGATAATAATGCAAGAGCAAAAAGACTACCTCCGGCTTCACAGTTTCCAAGTTCTTGTCATCTCGTCTGCCACGCTTCGCATCCCGCTGCTAGTGCGGGAGGGCCGGCGCTAGCCTCGCTTACGGCCACGTTTCAATCACGTGTGCTCATCACCAGCTCAAAAACATACTCTTTCCACCACAACGTCGCCAGGACGTGTAGATTAGCAAAAAGAAAGCAATGCATCGGCCGGGAATCGAACCCGGGGCTAGCCGAAACTGTCCTGTGAAGGATGGCAACGGCTAATTTTACCACTAAACCACCGATGCGGAGGTGGAGACCAGAGAACTGGACTGTTTGATGGAGAATTAGCCGAATTAATCGGATATAGTGCAGCTATGTGAGCGGTGACGAGTAGTTGGGTCGTCTGAATAGGAGAAAAGGTCAACTTTCCAGAGTTTGATCCCACTCTCGTGCATCCTGATTAGCCGCGTGGGTCAGACAAAGCGTTCGCCGAATTCGGGCAAGGCTGGGCTTGTCACGCCTCACACCAGGTGTGTGTCGGCTCTACATATCTTTCCCATCAGCGATAGTTTCAGTTCCTCCGATTGCCACCTCTATTCGCCAATGAATACACCCAAGAGAAATTCAGACCACGACCAGTTCGGAATGAGACTTGCTCCTACATATCAACACGCAGTTCACATGGCCAGTATGGCAGATGTAGTGCGTTGAGATTACCTAGGTAGTATCAAGTTGACTCATCTAGCATCTCAGATGCAATCAGACATGAATGGTATATATGACACGACTTCAGCCGCTAGTAGAGGGAAGGTAGCGACAGGAAGACATTCGACCAGGAATCGGCACTCAACGGCGGCTGTATGAGAGGCGGGAGGCGCACTCATTGCCGATGTGGAAATCTTCCGGAGTGCGGGGACATTATCTACATGCAATCAATTCTCCGACGCTTGAACGTTTCAGCCCTTGTACGCCGCAACACCAAGACAATGTACATTAAACGTGACCCAGCCGCCAGAGGAAGGTAGCATATCTGGCTGGATAAGAATCATGGCGAGTGGGAAGGATTGAACGATGCTCTCCTATGCGTGGGACAATATCCTAGCTTATCAACCCACCTACCTAATGAGGCCGAACGACCGTCCTTGATTGCAGCCACTACAGCAGTGAAGGTGTGCGTAGTAATCAGCGGTGGAGATTTACCATGAAAGAACACATGGTATATCATTAGGCATGCCGCAGCAGCCCTCATCGCTGCAAGCCCTGAACAGCGCCGACAACCACAGCTCTTGATCCTACCCAAGTAACTACACCCAAGACCATGCAGTTCTCTCTTCTCCTCGTCGCGGCGTATGCCTGCACCGCCTCCGCACGCCTGACCTGGTCCTTGGCAAAAGCGTCCAACCCCACCGCCGACCAAAGAGACGCATACACTAAGATCGAAGCTGCAATGACAAAGGCCGTCGCTCGCTACGAGAGGTACTCCGACGCAAACAAGACAATTCGTGTGGCCTACGCCCCGGGCGTCCCTACTGCCGAGGCGAACTACAACGGCGATCTACGATTCGGCTCGAACCGCGCTTACATGACGGAAAGGACTGCGATGCATGAGATAAGCCACACGCTGGGAGTTGGCCAGACAGCGGCTTTTGACAGAAAGTGTGCTGCAGGCGATTGGCGCACTGCACTACCGCTGATCAGGAGCTTCGATGGAGCAAATGCGAAGATTACTTGCGGTGGTGGACACTTCTGGCCATACGGTATGACAAAAACGCGATGTTCCAACTGTACGTGAAACATAGACTGACTTGCCACGTCGATAATTCAGGCCTGAACTATGAGACTGAGTGGAGCGAGACGAATGCGAACCGGCATGTGCAGTTGATTGAGGCTATGCTGACTGACGGGATGTGAGGTGGTTGTTTTCCAGTATACTGTTACAATTTAGCGTTTATACAATGCGAACGAGCCCCGATCAATCATTGTGCTACCATCGTTTACCAACTGAAGTGCTGCTTTATCTTTCAAGCTGCCGCAGACCAGGCGGATAGAGCATCGATACATGTTTGAGTTTGCTCGCCGTCTATTGCTTCAACTTCCAGACGCTAATCATGTCGTCGCCGCGACTTTGTTTGAAAGACACCGGGGGCTTCCAATACACGACCCTTTCGAACGAGCCCTGCTCCTTTCCTGTTCCGAGAAGATTGCCGGAGTCGTCGAACAGGCCATCCGCACCATCGGCTAGGAGGTTCCAGTGTACACCGTTCAGACCCCATGGCGGACCTTGAGCTTTCAGAGGCTTCCACATTGGAAATTCGAGGCACACGAGAACACCGGTTGGCGACAAAAGGCTCTTCATGCGATCGGCCCAATCTCTTCGCATCTCAGGAAGCAGGGCACACAGGAACTAGATCGACGTTATTAGCACTCATTATGAGAATGTCGGCGACTCTTTGCATGCCAAACGTACTGTATAGTCATAGATTAGATCGAAACCCTGGAAGTCGGGTCCGAAATGAGCCTCAAATTCCTTTTGGAAGAAATCGCCGAGCACAACGTCAGCGACATGGCCAGCTGAAGGATCTAGATGAGATTTGACGTTCTCGTTGGCGGTATCCACTGCTCCTTGGGAAATTTCTAGACCCCATGTCCTAAAGCCATGACGTGCTAACAGCGCCACATCATGCCCCTTACCGCAGCCCTAATGCACGATGAGCCTCTTGTTAAGTACGCTCGTTACGAGACACCTACAGGCACAAATGCCTTCAACTGCCGTTGACTCTGGTCTCGGAACAGCGTCTCGCGATAAGGGTGTTCTTCAAGGAACATAGTCAGAGCAGGCGAGGCTTGGCCACGATCCCACAGATCCTGTTCCTTCTGTTCCCACAGTTTGGCCCACCCGTCGCTCTGTGCATCCCGGGTGCTGGAACCGTTAGTTGTGGCTACGGAAGTGGCGGCACGTGGCGCTCCTTACCTGTAGCCATCAAAGTGGGAGACCAAGCGGGTCCTGTTTTCAGCAAACTGGGTTTCGGAACTCATGGTGCAGGTGCGGAAGGATGCAAGGATTCAGGATGTCACGGCAAAGCCTGGAAGTCGGTTCAGTGGTGATACAACGTAAAGATCTGTTGATCCATGCGCCACGCTAACCTCGTGCCTGACGCTACCTGGCTGGAGACAGCGCATCCTTGACGTCACCCCACATTTTTACCAACAACACCACTAGGTAACTTGCTTCGGTATACTTGCCTGCCCAATCGCGCGAGCTTGTGATCTTCCGCACCCATCGATGGTGAGCCAGATACGGTAGACTTTTAGGATTGCGGCTGTGCGGCATAGAGCACGACCGGGGCGTGGCTATGGTAGTGCTGAGAACAACATCTCGTTGCATAGATCCAATATCGGAGTGAAGCACAGGCTATGTGCCTACCGACCCACATGGACACTACTGGACACAGCCGTTCTTGCCACCACGGCTAGCCAATAAAGACTATGCGAGAAGTCACTGCGTTGTGACGCCACAGCTTGGGGACTTCGAGATTAACTTTGCTAGCCGACATCCGAATGATATTACCCGACTTCCTGCTTCCTCGCTTCAAAAGCCACATCTTGGCCATTCATAGGCCAAGACTTTGGAGTTGAACGTCATAGGGGCGCAGTAGGGAGAACAAGAATAGAGCTTTGCGCCTGGCAGCTGGTTCCGAGATGCCGTTTGGCTCCGCGAGAGCCACTCGGAGCTTGAGTCGTTGCAGTGCACTCGCTCACCGTTCCAATGTGTTGGCGCGTAGCACTTTCCATGAATCTTGGAGGGATGCCACTTGCGGCTCTACAAGAGTCACGGCAGGCGCACTCTCTTGGTATGAGTCCCAAAGCTTAGTGAGCGCCATTCTCCTTCTCCTTCTCATCTCTTTGTCGGAGACTTATACCAGCACCCATGGGTCGCCTTCTCCTAAACACAGTCCCACACAGCGCGCGGACTCTATACTACCTGCGCTACCGGGTCGCTGTTGTATTCTTCATACTTGCCCTATTCCAGCAACAACATCTGTACCTCACTAGTCGACAAGCTCTCTCAGAAAAGTACTCTGCGACCGACTTCAACTCTCATAACGAGGGAGGCCTACAAGCTCGATCTTGGCAACCCGATGACGAAAGTTCGAAGTTGGAAGAAGAGCTAATAGCAAACCGGGCGTCTTGGAAAGTGCTTGGCGAGGGCTGGGAGGGCAAGGTGTTCGCCTACGGAGACTCGGTTATCAAGACGTTCACGCCAGGCCGGAGTCCATTCCGAAATTGCGCGCCAGATGCGTCCAAATGGCCAACGGAAATACCTGCATCACTACAATTTGGGGGTTCCGCTGCCGACGATGCGAACGCGACGAAGAACGGCTTCCTTCCCGTGAGAACACATTTCATGGCTTCTACAACGCCTGGCGAACCGGCCGAGTGGCACCTCGTCACTCCTTTGCTCAAAGGCGGCAATCTTCTTTCACTTGCCAACAAACTGTCGTCGGAAGAAACGCCTATGGCTTATAGTCAGGTTGATGGACGCTATCGGCCAGCCTTCAACCAACTACTTAAGAATCTGGGAACTTTACACCGTGCAGGCTACTGTCACGATGATATTAAGCCGGCGAACATCTTTGTTCAAGACGAGTCCCACTGGGCAATCGGCGACTTGGGCAACATACGAGAAGTGTCACACCCCTACCACTCGTCGCGTATCTGGAAAGACAACGACCAGCTAGGGGATTGCCGCGCAAACGATGTGCTACGGGCTTTGCAGACATACCTGAAGTTTATCCAGTCTTCTGTTGCCGATGAAGACGACTTCAATGCAGCCTTGTATAAAGGCCAGACACCCTTGAGCAGACTCTTTTGGTGGACACTTGCCGATACACCACATATGAGTGCCAATGAACTTCGTCAACGTTCCCTTTCCGAGCACCCTTTAGCGGAGACAAAGGTGGATGACAGAGTCCCTGTACCTGCGCGACCTCATGCTTTTCTGAGCCTGTTCTCCGAGCGCGAGGCGGTCAAGCGGGCCACTGACCAAGCACTTATGACACGAATGGACGAGAGGAGCGTACGACTTTGGGGCATGGTGTGGTTGTTCGGCGTGCCCCAGCCGGATCTTTGTTGAGCGACCTTTAGCGGTTTGTGGAGTTCGATACCCATGGTACACGGCGTTTTATTACTACCTCATGAATTGATTCTTCATATTTTTCGGCAGAGAAGCAGGTTCCAAATTGTCTGGTATTACAAAGTTTATCTGATGAAAGTGAAGAACTCCTGTTGCATCGGGTATCAGCCATCTTGGCAAGAACAATCTCCCACACGTTGTTTCCTGCATTGCAGTCAGTTTGGATCCCGTTTGGTGGAGGGAACACCGCTTACCTGTAATACATGATCTCACCACCAGGGGCAGTCGTCGTAATCAATACCGCCGCCGGCGAAATCACCGTTCTGGTAACTCGTGTACGTCGTCCTTGCCCTGTTTATGCGGTCTTTCTCGTCCTCAACCACAGCTTCGAGCTCTTCCCTGTCAAGCTTATTATGTTTCTTGACATATTCGTAGACCTGGTACAGCGAGAACTTCTTCGCCTTTGTCTTTGTGTTCTCGTTGACCTTGTATTCGACACCAGCGTCGACGAGTTCCTGAGCCGTGACCTTCCACCACTTCCTGAGGTACTTCTCTTGCATGTAGAGATGGTACGTGCCACTCTTGAAACGCGATGGAGCGCTGGAAACAGGAGGCAACGCTCCACTAGCTCTGCGTTCTGCGTTCCACTGGTCGATGGCTCTCCGGATAATGTGATCGCGTGGTAGGTTTCTGCAGCATGCGCTGGATATCCATCCAAGGTACTGTTCGTCGAAGCGACTGATATGCGCTAGTGTGTTCCCCCTGTGCTTCCCGGTTTGAATGAAGTAACTGTGCAGAGGGTTCCTGCGCGCGGACTCCGCGTCTGGAGATTGCTCGTTGATGTATTCGCGTTGTACGTCGAAAGACCCGGGACCTTTACCCCGCCCGGCGTTGTTCCTTGGTGACGCGCCGTAGGGCGAGCTGCGGTAGCTCTGGGTATGGCTCTTCTGCGGTGCCCGGCCGTGGTAAGGCATGGTAGATGTAGTTGGTAGTGTAGTGTGAAAGTACTTTTGCAAAAAGAGGAAATGATGGTGGGTACGAAAGAAATGGTAGCGAGCGCGCGTCCAGATAATCCTTCTCTCTCCACCTGAACCAGTGACGCCTGCGGAACCGGAGAGCCGACAGCGAAGTTTCGCGATCACCGTTGGTGCTTATCGATAAGGCACGTGTTCACGCGTCTCCCGAGGTCCAACCGTAAGAGGAATAGACTCCTCACATTGAGATATCCAACCTTGGAAGGAACGTGGTTTGCAGTCCTGGTCAGACTGCTTCCGCTACCATTGAGCACACATACCGGTTTTACAAGTCGAATGACTTCAAATGACACTTCTCGGGGTGCTTCTAGACAGCCTCCGTTGTGGCGAACCACTTCGCTGCATCAAATGACTGGTCTTGAGGTCTGCTTTCGTTTGGAGCGAGTGCTGTAGTAGCAATAACCATGGCGAGGATCTTCCTACAAAGTGCACGAATGAGCAGTATCTTCTTGGGAAGGAAATGGAAAAGAACAGCCAGCCTGCGTCATCATACAGCAGTCAGTTTGGCCTTCAAAAGATGCTGTAGCAGGTGCATTCGAGCAATCTGCAACTACAGCTGTAGTCCCCCCAGTCATGTATCATCTTGTCCAATGCTCCTACGACCTTTGTTTTGCTAGTCAAACCTGCCCATTGCCGGATGGGAAGTACATATTTGCAGGTATCCGCTCTGTGACACGTCATCTGTCCAATGAACTGTACCTAGTCAGTACCGCCGTCGAATTCTTTGTACTCATTCACAGTACATAGCATATGATCACGAGACGAAATTGTGTCCACGCCAGCGAATAGCAGCTGTTACATGCATGCGGTGAGCGATATGCGGTGAGGAAGCCTCCAGAAAACGAGGCGGGTAACGGACCGGGGTGAAGCTTGTATGAGTCGCGTGGCTTGGGCGGCTAGCGTGCGCATCATGACATCGCCAGCACCACCATCCATCCTCCTATTAACAACGACCCTCAACGTCGATTTTGTTTATGGCGACTCACGAGAGCACCTGGCAATGATCAAAGGCAACGGTACTTGCGGGAATGGCACCAGCGACCCCAACGACCCTTACGGCACGCACCGGCCGCAGCGCGCTTTCCACCTCCAGGTCTCCCTCTCCGCCGCGCTCGGCCTAGTGGCTTTCCTGGCCTTTTGCGTGCGTACTCGCAGTTTTGTCTTCCGACCTACCTGCTGACTGGTTGTATTAGTTCCTCCGCCCACGATGGAAAGGCCTCTACTCTGCACGCAAGAAGCAGAACGACCTCGCGACATCGCTGCCCGACCTTCCCGATAGCTTCTTTGGCTGGGTTATACCGTTATGGAGGATCACCGACGAGCAGGTGCTCGCCTCGGCCGGTCTCGACGCCTATGTATACCTCGCTTTCTTCAAGATGGCTATCAAGTTCCTGCTTGTCACGCTGTTCTTTGCGCTAGCCGTCATCAAACCAGTCCACGACACACACCAGGACAAGGAGGGAAAGAAGTCTTCGATCGACAAGAAGCCCAGTCCTGAGCGCATTGAAATACGAAGTACACTTTCGACATTTGCCTCCGGCTACGAACAATACACCGACTATCTGTGGATGTATCTTGTATTCGTGTACCTCTTCACCGCCCTCATAATGTACCTGATTGTTTCGGAAACGAGGAGGATAATCGATGTCCGGCAGGAATATCTGGGAAGCCAGACGACCATCACCGACCGGACCATCAGATTATCTGGTATCCCTGTCGATCTACGGTCTGAGGACAAGATTAAGGACTTCATTATGGATCTCGGCATCGGGAAAGTCGAAAGCGTGACCCTTTGCAGGAACTGGAAAGAGCTCGACAACAAGGTCGTCGAAAGACAAGCTGTCTTGCGGAAGTTGGAAGAAGCCTGG